CTAGGGTGCAGTTCATCTCTACACTGTCATAGAAACCAGAGCAAAGATGAAAAAAGGGCAATCTGCATCTTCCCTTCCCCCTCCTGAAGCTACTTGTGAGGTTTTTCCTCTTGGTTGCTTGAGTGGAATTCCTCTTAGTGTACATGAACCGTAGATAGGTGCGTTCAGAATGAATGTATGCCTCGTCTTGAAAAAGTGTGCTCAAGCCTGTGATCCTGAAAAAGCATAACTTCCTCTGGAACTGTTTTGTATTTGAAAAAGTATTGCACACATTTCTTCTATTTTCCTGTGAAAATGTTGCAAGGTCAAACCTGTAAGTGTCCAAATAAATGTGGAGGGACATGGTCTACAGCTATACTGCACTTGGCTCTCGTTTGTTTAGAGACTTCTCTTAGTTTCACCTGCAATCTGATCTTTAAGCCATCCCTATAATTTCTTGGAAATGGTGAATGTTCCTGGTGCACAGTAGCAGCAAAATATGAAAGATGGGTTAAGGAGCCGGAATTCCTTCCTTCTTCCCATATCTGTTACTTGGAATTTGAACAAGTCTTGTACATTTCTCTAAAGCAAAATCCTTAATGTTGGCAGCTACTCCGTATTCTCTGTGTTTAGAGTTACATAAATTAAGCTGGACAAATATTTAACAGTAGAGCTGAGATTTACTTGCAGATCCTGTGTTAAGAATAAGTCTTATATTTCTGTAAGAAACTTCCATATATAATGTCATTGATTCTGTGGAAGTTTCTGAAGATACCCTGTCCAATAGCCACTTTATGATTGTTATTCAAAAATCTTAAGCTCTAGTAAATTAAACTGGAGTATGTACTTCAGAGAATATGCAACAGTAAAAAGGCAAGAGCTAAATTACTTTTATTATTGAAAATGATTATTAGAAGGTCAAATAGCCCTAGCCAGATAACAGATAAACATTATACTTTGCAAAAATCCCTTAAAGGCTGTGCTTCAACACAAAATCCCTTCAGTCTGTAACGTACTCCAGTAATAAAACTGAACACAGAAATGAAAACTAGAAAAAATTGCAGGGATCTTTAGGTGCACTGGCTGCGTGCACATAGCGTGGATTTTAACTGTTGTTTATACACATGCTGAGCCTGTTCTCTTCTGGGACATGGTATCGTGAAATGTTCTGTTGGACACTCTGCTCAGATGTGCATTCCTGGTGCTGCAGGTGGAGTTCCCGGGAGCAGGATTTGGGCCTCAGGAATCCAGCCATAACGAGCTCCTAACGAT